GTGAAGATTTTGGGTTTCATCTCAAAAGGTCAACCTTATTAAGAAGAATAGTTCAAATCTTTATAATTTGATCTATATTTTCATCTTTATTCGATATGAGATTTTATTCCTTAATATGCCCTCGCAAGATGGTGGTTCGTTTGAGCAGACCAATTTTAAAATCTATGTGCTCATTTTTTTTGAGTTTTAATTGGATCGAATTGCTCGTTGTAATTTAATGGACTCTGATACCATGTTAAGATTTGAGATTTCATCTTAAAATGTCAACCTTATTAAAAAGAATAGCTCAAACCATTATAATTTAGTTTATAATTTCATCTTTATTCGACGTGGGATTCTATCACTTACCAAATTCATTTTTATTCGACGTGAGATTTTATCCCTTAACAATTATCACCAATTTATATGAATAAATCATGTTCATATACTAGCCCTTAATTCAAAATTAAGGCTCAATTTTTACATTCACTACATGGGGAAAAAACCATAATTTTGTCGTTATATCATGATAAATTTACCATTATAATATAACGTAATTTTATACTTTTATCATAAAAGTCGTTTTACTTAAAAAAAAAAAATCATTTTCTCTTTGTAATTTTCAATAAAATTGGCTTGATTAAGGATGTTGATAAGAACAAGATTAGTATAAGCCATTAATGGGATGAAATATCCAAAAGAATACAATGGAAACGGTCATAAATCACTAGGTTAAACTAATCATAACACCTTAATCAACATTAATTAAGGTCACTCTCACATTGTAATATAATAATAATCAAATTTTGTATTAATTTCACATTTGGTTGCACGTCCTTTATAAACTATACATTGCCCACCTGTCTCCATTTAGACCCATATTAAAATTCTACCCAATCTTTCACCACCTTCTCCATTTCTTGTTTTCATCAATCTCTCTCTCTCTCTCTCTCTCTCTCTCTCTCTCTCTCTCTCTCTCATCCAAATCTTCCCCAAAAGGTCACTTTAATTCATCAAGTGGTGTAATCACTTAATTGGACCAAGTTCATGTGGAGTAGATTCATCAACAACCATTTTGTTAGTGAGGTAGAAGACACCGCAAATTCGCCTGAAAACAGTGGAGATCGCCCATCTCGGCCATGTCTAGTGATACCAAGATGACTAACACTTCCTCTCCAAAGAGAAGGTTAGTAACTAGATCATATATAGTATTTGTTATGTCGTCTTTAATACTGTCAATTACTGCCTAATCCTCCTTATTAAGCATGTCAATACTATATTTGAAAGTGTGAGAGAGGTTTCATTTATGTTCAAGAATCTTTTGAGGTTTGATTTGCGAGAGTTCATGTGCATGCATGAGTGTCAGTTGAAGAAATTATATGAAGAAAAATAGGTGTTTTTTGGGTTATTTTACAGTAGGAGAGCTATACAAAAAAGAGTGGTGTCGGTGCCAATCAAAGAAGCGGAAGGATCAAGGCTTAAGGGCGATCATATGAGTGCTCCGCCTTCTGATTCTTGGGCATGGAGAAAATACGGCCAAAAGCCCATCAAAGGTTCACCCTATCCTAGGTAATTAATTAATTTTCCTATAATTGTTTTGTAATATTTGATAAAATCCCCACATGGGATGATAATTTATCAGTTTCTTTTGATTTTGTCAGAGGTTATTACAGGTGCAGTAGCTCAAAAGGCTGTCCTGCAAGAAAACAAGTGGAGAGGAGTAGACAGGACCCTAATATGTTGGTGGTAACATATTCTTCTGAACACAATCACCCGTGGCCGGCTTCTAAGAATCATCACAACCACCGCCATAACGCCACCGCAGCCTTGACAACAACAAATACTACACCTTCGGTTTCTGAAGAAGAAGAAGAAGAAGATCATGATCAAGATCAAGATCAAGAGCAGAAAGATGCCATAAATATTTCCAATGAATCTGAGCTCATTTCTGAAGATAAATTTCCCAATCTTGATGATGGTTGCTTAATTAACGGCAGCGAATTTGGGTGGTTCACAGATTTTTACCCTACTTCTTTCACCATGCTAGAGAGCCCAATTTACACTGAAGACGGAGATGATACTGATTCCGATATTTTCACAATGCGAGAAGAAGATGAGTCACTTTTTGCTGATCTTGATGAACTGCCGGAGTGTTCGACCGTGTTCCGCCGTGGGATGGTGCAGAGAGAGGTGGCTCACAGGCGGCACAGCCTTGCAACCACCGGTTGATATATCAGCCTTGCAACGTCATACATATTTGTCTTTTCTGAGCAAAATATTTTAATTTCAGCGTGCCGTGCGCCGTGAGATAACCCAGAAAGAAAAGTATTTTTCTTATAATATTTTAGCGTAGTGGTTAGAGAATAAAAATTATAATTTCATTGTAATTAGCACCAAAAGCCGTCGGTTAGTAACGGCTATCTTAATTTGGCTGACGCTTTTATTCAAGATAATTAGCTTACGTCCTATTCGTCCATTATTATTTATATATTCTAAGAAATTATTTAAATTAGTTATTTAAAATTTAAACACACAAATAATGTCCAAACATGTATCCGTTTGTTGCAGATTAAAATCATATTTTTAGTTGATTTTGATAAAAGTTGATGAAATGTGTGGTTGAAAAGTTGTTGATCCCATGAAATTTGTGGTTAAAATTAATTGATAACTTTGACTTGAGATTAAAATTAGATTTTAATTTGTACCAAACAGAGGCTATTGTATATTTCTAACATTTCTGATAGAATTTTGAGTCGAGTGAGCACGGCTTGACAATTTACTTGTATCCTATTATGCCCCTATTTGACCCCCATTATTTTGCATTTTTGGGGGTTGGAAATTTTTAGAATAGTGATTGATAGGATAATGTGTGGTTGAAATTTTTTTGATTTGTGTGTAATATTATTTTATTTGATGAATGTGTCGTTGAAATGAAGAGAGAAAAAAATGTAATTTAATTTAATGGGGGTCAAACAAGAGCTATATTTTGTATGACGTAGATACTTATACAATAAACCATTTATAGTTATAGTAAACTTTTCGAAATCGCATAATATTATCCTTTCGTAGCGATCCTCCTTATACCAACCTTCAATAATTTATCTATTTCTTCTTATATTCAACCGACAAGTTAAGCTTGTGAAAAAACAATAGTCATCAATATTAAAGACAATGATAGAATTAAGGGTGTTGTTTGAGCCCTATTTTATGGAAAAATAGGTTTCTGTGACAGTGATTTTTTGAATAATGTATAGTTAAAAAGTAAAAAGTATATTTTTTGAATTTACGTGTAAATTATTTTATTGAGAGAATGTCTAGTGAAAATGAGTTTTATGAAAAATGAGATTGTAAAAAATGGGGATTAAACAAGGGTTAAATAAATAAAGATTTTATATTAATTGCCCGTTTGGCCTTCATTATTCCAAATTATAATAAAATGAATAGTAATTTTTTGACGAATATGTGATTAAAAAAGAATGAATGCCTGTGGCTTTCTTTTCCATGGTGGGAAAAACTTTTCTAAGCAACCTTTTTTTAATTTTTATTTTTTATTTTTTTTGTGCGCCAATATTCAAGGACTGTTTGGCAAAACTATTGATAAAAGGTGTTAACCAATTTTTGTAAAAATTGATGAAATTTGTAGTTGAAAAGTTCATAAGAATTTTGAGTCCTATAAAATTATGGTTAAAACTGATTATTGATTTTGATCTAACTTTTTACGCTATTCCAAATAAGCACTCATAAAGCTTGTCTTGCTTAGAAAGGAAGAGAACGAAAGAGACTTTATTTTTATTATATTATAAGTTAAGAAGAAAGACCCAACCAAAGTGCCGGCCCAGATTGAATCTGACTAATTAATTATTTCTTTTTACCCTTTTCGTGCAAAATTTAATCCAGTTTCTCTTCCTGGAGAGAAATGAAAAAATGTAATTGGCTGGCTATGCCAAAAAAAAAAAAANTATGGTCGTTGCACATGATTCTAATGACTTAAGCCTAATCCTATAATAGAGTAATTATTGTAATGACAATTAAAAATAAAATATATTATTAATAGATCGTTGATTCCTCTCGATCATCTTTTACTGCATTTCATGATGTGTATAAAGTTTGGCCATTGATTTGAATAAGTGTTATTAAAATAAGTGGTCAAATTTTTTATACATCATGGAATGTCAATGAAACTATCAGTACAACAGAACTCCTTAACGAGGGACCTATGTGACCTTTCATTTTTCGGATCCAACTTCTATGAAATGTAAGAAATTTACCTCAAATCTTTTTAGTATAATTTAAGCTCGGTCTTTTAATTATATAGCAAAACTCGTCATTCCTTCCATTTTGATCATTAAATAATGAATTTTCCCTTCTCCTTAAAAAATAAAAATAAAAGAAATCAGAAAAAAAGAAGTTGCAAATGGAGTTTTAGAACTTTTCAAAAGTACAAATAAATCACATTTAAACTAATTAAAGACTAGGGTTGGACAAAACTCCCGACCCGAATCGAGCGGTTCTTCATAAGTTAAATACCCGAACGAGTATCTAAATCAAGAACCGACGGGTTTGGTTTGGTTCTCGGTTCTAGACCCAAAATCGAAGAGTCGAATAAGAACCGAATTTAAATAATTGTTTTAATTTTTTATATTGAATTAATTAATTTTTTTTATTTTTTCTAAACAAATTAGCAAATTAACTGATTTGGTGATTAATGCTCTAACTCCCAAGCCAAGTCCATACCTAGCTAACCTAGTCCAACCCAACCCAATTTCTAAATTCAATTTTGAAAAAATTACCTAAAACCCTTCTTTTCAAAATTACAATTCAAAAATAAAGGATAAAGTTTTACAATTCAAAAATCAGATGGTAAATATGATTATTAATTAATATTATAAAACTAAAAATTAATTTATATACACCCACCCCACCCCACTCCACTCCACCCACATAGAAATCCCTAAATCGTCGTTCACTTCTCTCTATCGCTCTCTCTGCCTTCTCTGGTTAAGCGCCGTCGATTCCAAGCTATGGACCCTTCCGTTTCCGGTGAAAAGGAACATGAATCTGAGAAAGAGCAGTTAGAGGCTACTGTTGTTGAAGAAGGTGATTCAATCGAGCTTAGACTTCTAGGTATGCTTCTACAATATGTAGAGTGTGTCGCGATGGACAATCTAGACGACGCTGGCCAGCTTCTGCCGGAGATTGCCGAGCTTTCTTCTCCCTTTGGCTCGCGTCGAGGCGTACTTCGCAGACGCACTGTCGTCTTGAATTATCAGCTCCTACTTGTGTACTTACTCGCCCCTCACCATATTCTACAAAACCCACGAACAAAAGCTGCTCAATGCCTTCCAAATCTACAATTCAGCTCTTTGATCAAATTTTCACATTTCACAACCAATCAGGCCATCCTTTTTCCTGGGTAGGTCATTTTTTTTCAATTTTAGTTCATTTTTTTTCGTAAAATTAGTGTATAATTTAAAGGAATACAGCACCAGAAATCGCCATTGTTGGTTCAAATGAGAAGAGGTCTGCGAAATTGTCTTTTTATGCAATGTGTCTGCATAGGACAAACCAACAAACAAATCACATGAATTTAATTAATTTTAATCAGTTGGAAAAGATGTTTTGGCTTTTTTATCTTCTTTATTGTTTGGCTGAACTTAAAATTTTTACCTAAACTAATTTTAAATTAATTGATTTTTAGGGAAAATGATGAAGATTGATTTTAGTGGCCTATTAGAGACGTATTTACAAAAGAAAAATTCATTTTCTCCAACCAAGTTCAATCACCCACGATCAAACACCACCTTCAAAAAATGCAATCACTACCTTTGGTGGTTCTGCGATCTAAGTTGCTGGTTTTTAATCCTATTAACTATAATACTCCTATTAACCCATTAGATTCCATAAGATTTAGAAGGCAAAAATTATTCCACAACTTCTCAATCAGAATTTTCCATCTAAATGAAAGCCATACAAATAATTAAAACTTGTTCCTAACAGCAAGTAATGTAAAGCAACAAGCACAGGGCTCTTGAGATACAGAACATTTCTCCCTATCATCTTCTTCTGCACACATACGTCCTTGAAAAGACATGGTTTATGTCGAACAACAACCGCCTCTCTTCATAGCAGATACATCTTTGCTCACATCGATTTTCTCACCCTTTGAAGGGACGTTCGATGCGGCTCCATTTTCTCCTGTCTCCATTGCCTTCTTGCTCACAATACGGTATATCTGAGTAAGAACCTCAGAAAAAGCATTTTCCACATTAGTAGCTTCGAGTGCTGAAGTTTCCATGAAGTAGAGTGACTCCTTCTCAGCAAAAGACTTTCCATCCTCAGTCGAGACTGCCACTAGATGTCGGAGATCAGACTTGTTCCCAACGAGCATGACAACTATATTGGGATCCGTGTGATCCCTCAACTCTCTTAACCACCTTTCAACACTTTCAAATGTGGGGTTCCTTGTCACATCGTAAACAAGCAAAGCTCCAACTGCACCACGGTAGTAGGCGCTGGTAATTGCACGGTACCTAGAGACCAAAAAGAATAGCGAGCTATTAAAGATTGCATACAAAAAAAAAAACTTGTGATGGAAAATTCAGCTAGGCCTCATTTTATTGATCCATAATACCTACAAAAGAAACACCCCAAATATCTCTTCTAAAAAAAACTACATTTTTTTCCCAAAACAGAAAATTTCTCCAATAACAATTACCCTACAAAATGTTCTAAATCAATGCTTCGAGCCTTCAACTAGTTTAAACTAGAAATGCAAGCCAGAGTGCACGTGTGATGGCTATGACAGGATAGTAACTGCGTACTCCTGTTAATTACACATAAGAGGTTCACGACACACTAATGATAGTAAAGCTATTAGATTAAGTTTTTGAAACAGCCAAGTGAAAAAAATAAAGAAGGCCCCATCATCTTGAGGGCATCCATCTCTGGTTGTCATCCATTGCTGGTGAACAACTACAGCAATATGTAATGACAGGAAGATGTCGTAATTTACATATAGCATATTAAGGTCTAAAAGGTCCACTGGGGCTTAATTGCAAAGCACAAAACCTAAAGGTACAGTTTTATCCATAAGCACTAGGTGGTGAAGGCAATCTTACTAAGGAGTTTCATCTTCAAATCATCATCGTCCATAGTTGGATGAAATTGCAACAGAGAGACCTTATGCCAGAACATATTCTCTCGTGTATCCTTCAAATGTTGAGGATACTAAAACATAATTCTCTTGAGAAAAGATATCAGAACAATTACAAATCAAAAGCAAGACTCGGGGGATTTTTCTATATGCTTTCTTACAAAACGGAATGAATAGGAACAAAAACCTCTAATTTATCCAAGGATTCTGTTCTGGCACAAAAACCTCTAATCTATCCACGGAACCTTAGTTAGGAAGTCTCTTAGTTGTCCTAGAAAATTCCTTATTGGTCAAAGATTTTAAAGTAGCCTACTTAAAGAGTCCTAGCTATTAAATATACTAATATGGTATGACAAGTCTTTTAGGTCTATATGTACTTTTCTCATCATTCCCATAGAGTTGATCAGTATGAGAAGATGATGTTCTGTTGTATGAATTTGCCTAACTCGTCTAAGGATGAAGCACTTCTCTTCACTCTTTCTTCTTCCCTTATTTCAGTAAAATGATTCCAATATACATCAGAATCATGGACAGGGAACCGTACTAGCAACCTGCCGAATTTATTATCTAAATTTCTGGATCAATGATTAAACCATGAAAACTATAAAATATCTTCTCCATTGTTCTTCTAGAGCACAGTTCTAGAGGATTCATGAAATCACAAGAACATCTTTTTACCTCAGGAAGTCATGAATAATCCTTACCAAACTGACTAGACACTCAATGTACACCGAGTGCAACCATCCAATCCATTTGTTTGATTGTAAAGCTGTCCAGCACCACTCTTGTGGCCCCCCAGCTCCAAAACTACGAATTTGGAACTAAGGTTAAGCCAACCTAGAATCATTGGAGCATTCGATCAACCACAGAACAGAGCAGATAACGAATTAGAAGACAAAAGTTAAACTTGGTTTAATCAACTAACCTACATGCAGGGAAAAAGGAGCAATGTTTACCACACATGAATAGAGAAAATTCTTATATCCCAAAACCCTGTAAATGTCCATTTGCTACTATCTCCAACTAAACCCTCATATATCAATATATAGCCACAGAAGAATAATACATAACAGATATACTCCACTATGCATCACATAACACTTATAGAACCCACTTTTTCCTGTCATCACGACTTCATTTCCAATATAGCACAGTGTGTTACCTAAGTGGAAGTTGCAGTATTCCCTTGAACTATTTGAGGATGCAATGTTGGTCACAACATACTAATGGACTCTTAGTTTTCTGCAACACCAAAGAATCCAAGAACACTCCTGAGTAAGGTTCTGGATTGCTCTCCATGGCAAATCCATTTCCACAGGCCATCTTTCTCTCCCTTCAAACCTTGTTAATAATAATAATAACCAACAAGTATATTCTAGGAAGTTCATTCAAATTGAGAATAGTGCAGATACATGATAGTCGTATAGTTTATTTAATAGAAATTTACTTCTTTCATTCAATAACTCCCATATGCAAAGATAAAATTTATAAAATAGTTTTTATTACTATATATGCATCTGAAACATTAAAAATATGTATGTGAGTGAATATATTAGTTAAAACTTGTCAGTAATTTAAAGGAAGATCTCTGTTATGGATTCTATGCCTATGTTCAATATATATTTAACTTCCTGAAAATTCCAGTTTATTTTTAAATTACAGATAACAATTACATTCAAACTGTTTAGTAACAGTGGCAGCAAACACTAGGAGTGACTGCATAAGAAGGATGCAGTCTTTACTCTTCATGAATAGCACATATACATACCCATCAATAAGAAGTAAAGAACCCCGGAATATTGATCTCTTCAGATAATACTACCTCCTCAATGAGTAAGTACTTGATACAATCCAAAACAAACAAACAATTCATCAAAATGGACAACAACCACACGAGAATCGGTAAAGAAAACAAAGATCTATCAGTGCAAACAACAAACGAACACTCGAACCAAGATTCTTGAATGGACAAAGTATGATCCACTGTCTAAATCAAGTTCAAAACTTCTTTATCAGTACCCAACCCCGAATTAAGAACCATTTCCTGATTAATACTGAACGTTCTTTCCTTCTCAAATCAGATCTCTTCAAATTATGCCACATCCTCTGCAACTCAATTTAAAACTTTACATAAAAGAAGCATTCGGCACCATCAAAGTACACTAAATTCTCGTTAACGCATAAATTCGAGCCTCATACACACAACCCATATCAGATTTTAGCAATTTCAAAACCAAAGATCTCCTCTATCTAGTTTATCATAACAAATGCCAAGAAACTAAACAATGTAGGTAAATAAAGATGTAAACGGGCAGATCAGAACATTTTCAATAATTACCATAGTTACCTTTCTTGCCCAGCAGTGTCCCAAATCTGAGCCTTGATGACCTTTCCATCGACATTCAAGCTTCTGGTTGCAAACTCAACACCAATGGTGGATTTGGACTCAAGACTGAACTCATCCCTAGTGAATCTTGAAAGCAAGTTGGACTTGCCAACACCAGAATCCCCTATAAGAACCACCTTGAAGAGGTAATCATAGTCATCTTCTGCCCTGTACCCTGACATCTCTGTTTTTAAATTTCAAGACTGATTGAACTTTTTTTTTTCTGAAGATGTAAGAATATCAAGTTCAGTAAACCCTCCTTTTTTTCAAACTGTGGGATTTGGTGGAGATTTGGATTTATTTTTACTGTTATGCTTCTAGAGGGTGAACTATTGTTGTTTCTTTTGGCCTTTTGAGTGGGATCCTGCGCGTGGGTGGCTGGGTGGGTCTATTTTGACACAGGGGAAACGGAAAAGACTATGGTCCGCAAACAAGCTAAGGATCACTATAGGAAAATGACAAATATAGCACTAGTCTTGGGTCACAGTTAAAAATGACGAAAAATCAAAGAATAATATTATTTATCATCATGATGATAGAATATCGGTGACGTAATAACCTATTATCTCTCACATTTCTCTCTCTCTCCTCTCTTTCTCATAAAAATTGAACTAACAAGTCCCATTATTTCTCATAACCTATCACATCACATATATTCCATCATAATGATAAATATCATTAGTCAAACCCAAATTCTAAAACAAGCTAAGGCCATGTTTGTCGTCTTTTAAAAAATTAAATTATTTGCTATAGTATCATTTCTCTACTATACATTCACACAATAAAATATCGTACACACAGATCAATAAAGTTTCCTTACTTTTTAAATACGTATTCTTCAAAAAATACTATTCCATAACTCATTATTTCCAAATAAA